CGGGGGGAGGTTACCCGCCGGTGCAGAGCCAGGAAGGCCGGCTTCTGGTTTCTGGAGAGCAGGGGTGGCATGATCAGCCGATGGCTTTGGGGGGGCACCAGGAACCCCCAGTGCTGGGGCAGCCGTGCCTGGAGCGGGAGCTGGCAGGCCAGGTGCCGGGGCAGGGGCTGCCGGGGGGGCAGCTGGAGCTGGCGGAGCTGCAGGAGCTGGTGTGGCTGCAACAGGGCTCTTGGGAGGTGCTTTGGCCGCAGGAGGGGTGGCTGGAGCTGGCAGAGCTGCCAGCACTGGATCAGCAGGGGCAGAGGGAGCAGATGGGGCAGCGGCAGGGCTGCTCTTTGGAGGCTTTTTGGCTGCAGGGGGGGCAGCTGGAGCTGGTGTGGCTGCGGCAGAGGGAGCAGCAACAGGGCTCTTGGGAGCCGCTTTGGCTGTGGGGGGGGGCGGCCGGAGCTGGTGGAGCTGCCATCGCCGGTGCGGCAGGGGCAGAGGGAGCAGACGGGGCAGTGACTGGGCTCACGGGAGCTGCAGGAGCTGGTGTGGCTGCAACAGGGCTCTTGGAAGGTGCTCTGGCCACAGGAGGGGTGGCTGGAGCTGCCGGAGCTGCCATCGCCGGTGTGACAGGCGGGGAGCTGTCAGGGGCAGAGGGGGCAGATGGGGCAGTGACAGGGCTCATAGGAGGCGATTTGGCTGCAGGAGGGACAGCTGGAGCTGGTGGAGCTGCAAGAGCTGGTGTGGCAGGGGCAGAGGGAGCAGATGGGGCAGCGACCAGGCTCACAGGAGGCGCTTTGGCCACAGAAGGGGTGGCCAGAGCTGCCACCGCCGGTGTGACAGGCAGGGAGCTGGCAGGGGCTGAGGGGGCAGTGATGGGGCTCGTGGGAGCCACTTTGGCTGCAGGAGGGGCAGCTGGAGCTGGTGGAGCTGCAGTGGCAAGGGGAGAAGTCGAGGCAGTGACTGGGCTTGCAGGTGCCGCTTTGGCCGCAGGAGGGGCAGCTGGAGCTGCCACCGCTGGTGTGACAGGCGGGGAGCTGGCAGGGGCCAAGGGGGCAGCAGGCACAGGAGCTGCCAGCGGGGAGACGGGGCTCGCTGGAGCTGCTTTGGCCAAAGCAGCCGTGGCCACTGCTGGTGCAGCACTGGGAGCTGCTGCTGTCGGTGGCCCTGGGGGAGATGGAGCAGCTCCCGGAGAGGGTTTGGACAGGACAGGAGTGATGGGAGCAGCCGCAGCGGCAGGCGCTGCCTGAGGGTCCAGGCTCCCGGGAGGTGTCCTGGCCACGGAGGGAGGGACCGGGTCTCCCGCAGCTGGAGCTGTAGGAGCAGCAGCCGGGGCCACCGGGGCAGGGCCCATGGGACAGCTCTTGGCAACAGAAGGAGCAACTGTAACCAGTGGAGAGACCGGAGCACCGGGACTCCCAGGAGACATCCCAGCTGGCACCAGAGGGGCAGGAGGTGACAACGGGGCCAGGGCCATGGGGGCAGCCAGGAAGAAAGGCGGAGAGATGGCACCGGCCAGGGCCAGGCACTGGGGAGGAGTGAGGGGGGACAGGGGAGAGTTGGGGGCTGGGGCCTGGGGAGAGGCCGAAGCAGAAGCCAGCGGGGTGGAGGCAGGGCTGCCAGGAGACACCGGTACTGCCGGGGCGGCCGCTGCCGCTGCCACGACAGGGCCGAGAG